GCTGGCCTTGTAGAATGTGTTTATAGGAAGCTTAAATGGCGTGCATGTTGTTGTGATTTTGTTGGTTATTTGAGTTTATCATCTTCTCCAATATATGCATTTGCAAAGTTGTATTCAATGCTTCCACCAATTTCCTAGTTTTTAGGTTCTAATTTCCCAGATTTGGTGTCTTTTGTTGAAGAGATGCTATTCTACTTGGTTGAAGAAAAAGATAGGTCCAGGTCTACACAATATAACTACAGTTGACGAGGCAAAGATGATCTTGACAGATGAAGATAAAGTATTTGTGGCCTATCTAAAAGGTTTGATGGTAAGATACCTATCATTTTTTCTTACCAAATACTATTTGCTTCTTAATGATGTATTAGTTTGTCCGTTGCACCGTAGCTATAAGTTTTTGGGCTAGAACAACAAAATCTTTATTGGAAAACGATTTCTTCTTTGTGATCTTGATTGATTTACTGGAATTTTGTAGGGTTCAGAGAGTGAGGAGCTTGCTGCTGCTTCAAAGTTAGAGAAGATGATGTTAGCTTTTAGTCTTTTACCAGATTTCCAATCCAGATATTAACGAAAGTTTTCCATATTAATCCACATGCGAAGCATCCATCCTTGGTCAGTGTAAGAAAAAAGTTGAGAAACTTAGCAAATTTGGTCGGATCCCTCAGTCCAAATTTCTTGAATTTAAGTGATTTATAATAAAATTCATTATTGATTCCCTAGCTCATTATTCCAGGTGGCAAATTTACTAAATCTGCAATAGATGAATTTGTGTTTAAGAACAAGCGTCCTTAGTCACCAATTTTTACTTGTGAAAGTGCTCCATTTGTGTTTGAGAATCCAATTAGGAAACATGTATTGCATTCCTACATGTTTACATGCTTGTGTTAAGGAGGCTTTTAGTTTCACCTAATGTTTAATTCTTTGATGTTTCAACTATTACAGTTAATTCTTTTTGCAACGTCCAACGATTCAGACAGTTTATCCTATATTCCAAAGAGGCAGCAAAGGTTTTCAAGGGAAAAGTGTGAGTAATTCTTTCAATAGCTTCTTCTTTTTTTGGCTTTTTTTTTGTGTGTTCAACACTTTTAGGGAAATATTTGTGAGCAATGAGATATTATAATGAACAGTTTTTATTTGTTTCGTTGTACTGCAGTTTTCCTGTAAAATTGAATCCATTTGCTTAAATTTAAATATAGCATCGCTAATGATAATTGTAGAGAAGAGATGTCCCTTGACTGCTGTTTATTGGGTTCCCCTTGTCACTTTGTAGACTCCATTCTTGCTGTCTATGAGTTTACTAATTTTGAAGCTTTATTATGAGCCACAAGTCCCCATTTATTTAGTATTTTTCCTTACTATTGCCTTTTATTGGGGGAATAATATTGCACAGTTGACTCCTTCATCTAATTCAACTATATTTAAGTTTCTTTTTTCATCGGTGCGTGTTTGACAATGTGAAGTCATATACTCTAAATGTGGTGTCCCGAAGGTATGCAATATTTTTTTCTTGGTCGTGCCTTTCTATTCTACGTAACTAACTATATCGCTTGATTGGTTGCAATACAGCCAAGCCATAGATTGGTTGTTGGTGGGAGTGAAAATGGTGCTATGGTATGTTTGGATATAAGAACCAAGGATTTCAGTGGGTAGAATAGATGCAATTACACCCTCTGGTGCTACTAATAGAGGAAGGTGCCTATTTATTCTCTTGTCATGCATAAAGTTTTCCATGTAGGTCCTTTGATAGATATTTATCTTATTTGTGTTGTGTTGATTGTAGGAGATGGTGATAACAATTGTGTTGGATGGAAATGGAGACTATTACATGGCAGTTGAAAGCAGGAAAGAGAAGGTACACTATAATTTGCTATATCCATGATTGCAGTGCCATTCTTTTCTTTCAATCCTCTTTTGCTTTATCGCAGTTGATGTGTTATGAATTTCATCTACATTGAATATATGATTTGTTGTGCTGGGTTTTTAGGCAGCATATAGAAGTCTAGTGTAGGGGAACCAAATGTCATGCATTTTTAGTTGTAAAATGAATAAAGACCAATCTCCTGCATTATTTGAGTCTAACTGTCATATGCAGCTTGATCTTAAAGCCTGATGTCTACTCGGTAATTTTTTTAATTTATTGAATGTTAACAATATGCATTTACTTAACAAATTTGTTATTATTATATACTTTTTAATTCAATCTATGTTTCTTATTGTTTAAATTTAATTTCAAACAAAATACTTATTATTGCATTACATTATAAAACATCCGTGCTGCATAACCCATGAATGGGTTTTAGTATATATATATATAATTGTCAATTTTTAACAAACTTTAAATAAACTTTGCATGCTGACCTGATTTTGATCCCTATTGATCAAAGCTCACCTTCGTGATTATTGTTGATTTTTTAACAAATTTTATATTAATTCCCTCAAATCCTCTCCGATCTTTACTCACTCTGTAGATAGATGCAATATTACAATATAAAATTCATACTTCTAAAGACGTTTCTTTTCTTATCCTTTTCAAGAACCAAAATGGTCACTATTTTGTAGTATCTTATATAATATTGATTTTGAATTATTAATTATAATCAAATCATGAATGTTACATATATTTATATATTTATAGGCAAAAGCAAATTAACTTTTTTACAAAAATATGTTAGTAAAATCGATAAAAAATTAAGAAAACAGGGATAAGAGACATATCAACAAGATCGTGTGTAATCACTATTTGTCAACTCTTTTGAAGTGGATTATGAGACGATTGCCGTCGTCTCCTCGACTAGCCCAGACCTCGAGTGTCATTTTACTAATGAGTCCATTCTTTTTCGCAATCTCATATTATGACTTTCTTATGGCGTACATATGTGTGTTTTTCCCTGACAGTATCTTGTTCATTCTCGACTCTTGCCTTGTCCCCTCAAGATTGACCACGTACAATTCAGAGGCTCTCTATTCTCAAGGCTTGATAATAGAGAACATCTGGATTATACGTGATCAATCTTAAGGGATAAGGCACGAGACGAAATGAACAAGATTTCGTCGGGGGAAAACACACATAGATACGTCATAAGAAAGTCCTGATATGAGATTGCGAAAAAGAATGGGTTCACCAATGAAATGACACTCGAGCTCTGGGCTAGTCGGGGAGACGACGGCAATCACCTTATTATCCATCTCAAAAGAGTTGGTGAGTAGTGAGTACACACGATCGTGTTGTTGATATGTCTCTGTTTTTTCTTGAATTTTTGATCAGTTTTATAAACATATTTTTTTTGTTGGGAAAATAAGGATGCATTCGTCAATTAATTATTCTTGATCGATGATGATATGAAGAACTAATATGCTTTTGTCTATGAATATATGTCATGTTCATGATTAGATTATAATTAATGACTATTCTGGTTCTTGAAAAGATAAGAAAGGCCATCGAGAATGTGAATTGCAGAGGAAGACGATTTGAGTAAATTAATATAAAGTTTGTTAAAAATCGACAATAATCATGAAGGTGAACTTTGTATGATTCATGGGGGATCGGGATCAGGCGTGTAGAGTTCTTTAAAAGTTTGTTAAAAAATTGACAATTATATATATATATATATTCATGGATAATAAAGTTGTATCATAGTCCATTCATGCCTTATTTACTCTTAATAAATAAATCAAGACAAAAAATAGATTAAATTAATGAAATATAAGGCGAATTGAACTCTATCTTGTTTGTGATAAATTAATTCAAATATTTGTATATATTAAGCTAAGATTATATCATATCACAATCATATATATATATATAATCATGGATATGGATACATTATTAAATTGGTTAAATATAAGACTAATTGAACAATGATCTTATTTATTATATCATTTCACAATCAATTAGTATTTGTGTTGTATAAGACTATAGCATGTGTTGTTAGTCATGTGTTGTATTTGTGTTGTTGGTTAATAATTACAAGTGTGTTGTATAACAATATATGGTGTGCTGAAATCAAGTATTGATTGTGCTCTATAAGACTATAGTATGTGTTGTTAGTTCATGTGCTGTATTTGTATTATATGAATGCAGACTGTGTGTTGCCGGTAGTAACACCATGTGTTGTCTGACAGCACACACAGAGTGTGTTGTCAGCACAGTGTTATATTATATCATATCACAATCAAACATTTATCCGGTTTGCACGTATGCTTATAAATTCTCATAATTCAATTCCTCAACTTAACTGCAAATTCATTCATTAGTCCCTTCAATTTTAATTGCTGTATTTATTCATTCATTCTTTGTAGTTACTTAATTTCTATCGATGAATAGCGCAGAAGAAGAAGAAAGCTGTGAATTCGAATTCATCTGCACCTGCAGCAAATTCAGATTCTTTTAGCGAAGAGAACAAAAGTTATGAATTTAGCAGCGTCAAGGAGCAAGCATTCCTTTGGACCGATCTTCTATTCCTCCGATCGTCAGGCAGTTGGAAAAATTTCTCGGAATCTTAAATCACAATCAATACGGCAGCGTTGGTATTTCCATCAACTGCGACCCCTTTGAGAAGATGGCCGCTTTCATGATATACAAGAATTTTGAATTTATATATATTTCACATGAAAATAGTAAAGTGAAGCAAATTGTGGATGTATATTAAATTTTGTAAATGAGATGCAAGAATTTAATCAAATATTAGTTGGTAGTTTAGTTTTACTTTATTCCAGGTAGAATATTATTTGTTAGTCTATGTAACAGGGCACTTTTGTCAACAATGATGTGTGGTGAGAGCAAACGACCTTATCGATGGCCTCTGATAGCCGGTAAAGGCATTTTTTCCTATGTCCTAAAAAATAATCAGGCAATGACCTTCGTTTCCAAACGGAAAAACTGAGGCACGGTGGTGAAAGCCTCGTGCAATAAAGGCTTTTTTGAATGATTGGATGGTTCCTCATCAAATATTTTTCTGCTGGCTTAGCAATTACTCGACACTCATGAGAAATTTGCTTGTACAATCTTGCACATGACTCTATTATAGGCTAGAAAGCAAGAACACAACCAGATGTACCAGACAAAATAGAGTGTACATTAGCTCTCTGAAAAATGAAGTATAACCGATAAATCTTGTATATAGTCACTCGAACGGATCGGGTCTAACACATGCCAAAGTACATCCACACTCGGATAGACTCTATCTATACAAGATACATATAAAGGTAGCCTATACAAAGAAATACGGATAAACTATGTCAAACGGATATATAGTAATTCGGTCAAAAAGGCAATCTCGTTCTCGAATATTTCGGAATGTTCTGAAGGGTTCCAAAACCTTCCAAAACATTGTGGGAGATTCCAAAATCTCAAGGCATATCCGTTAATCTTTCTGCTTTGGAGCTTTGGAGCGCCGCAGGCCGCTCCTTGGTGTCCCCTCTGTAAGTTGCAGCACACTCCTCGGTGTTCCTCGGCCAAAATTTCGGTTAGCAACACTTGTCACCTTTAAACCCTCTTTTCGAAGTCTTCATTGTAATTTCAGAACATTCTCATATTGTTTGATTTTTTTATTATTTAATTTTGTTTATCAACTCTTTTTAAACTTATTTTCTTTGGTGGTTAACGAGAAAGGTGAATCATCACAACAAAAAAATTCAGAAAAAAGAGTTTTTGGCCGCTTTGGAGATTGATCATCAAGTAAGAAAATGAGTTTGTTTTATTTTGTTTTTTTTTTTTTAAAATAATATGTTTCTTGAGCCATTATGGATTATTTCATGATTTAAAAAAATACAAATCGATTTAAGCATGACACATCACCTATAGAGGCTTCTTTTTTTTTTTTTACGAAAACCATTGTACTTGCTCGGGGAGGATTTTAAGGATAAAAGAGAAAAATAAAAGTGCAAATAATGAAACAAAAAAATTGCAAAAGTTTTGGAGTGTGTTTGGTTTGTATAGTTTTTATTTCAGACTTCTTTATTTGATTTTTTATTTATTTAACATAATATTTTTTTTAAGTAAATAATATTCTCTTCATCTCAATTCAGAATACATTTTTTTAAATTATTTTTTTTATGTTTTATTTAAAAGTATTTATTTTTATTTTTAGTAAAAATAATTATACAGTAATACCAAAATACTATTAATTTTTACGTGAATTACAACCATATCATTATGCATACAATAAATTTATCCATAAAAGCCAAAAAAACAAAAATATCAAAATCTTTAACACACTTTCATCCACCAATAAATTATTATTATTTGTTAATATAGTATAAAATTACAAAATAATAGTTTAAAGTGAAAGTGAAAACCATGTTTGTTTGTATAGAAAATCGTACAAAAAAAAAAAATTGGTTTAATGAACAAACAATATATTTTTTCGTCTCATCTTAATCGTCATTTATGTCCTATTTTTATTACTTTCATTTTTGGTATGGTGATTTCGGTGATACTATAATTTTGATTGTTTTCATTTAATCATTTTGCCCTAATAGTTTATTTATAATAATTTTATAAATGATATTAAAAAGTTAAAAGCTAAAGAAAAAATTGTGTGAATAATAAAAGATTGCAAATTATTTCTTTTGTAATTTTCTTTTTCTTTTTTTTTTTCGAATCAAAATACAAAACAAACACACTCGAAGTTTGTTCAATTGTATATAGTTTTACTATTTTTTGTTGTGAGTTACGAGCAATCGTGAAAATATTATAATAAATAATGTTTTTTTTTTATGTTTTTATTGACTTTTGTCTATTTTTTGTTTATTATTATTATTTTCCGTTCCATTTAATTTGTCTATTCTTTTCATATTCGTCCTACATAAATTGTATATTTCATTTTTTTGAAAATATAATTATACTCTTTAATAGCATTTTAAAATTTAAAATTTATATATTTTTATTTTAGTTAAACTATTTAGTCATCTTAATCTTAATTTATAATTATTTTACTCACACACTTCTTACTTATTTACTAATTACATCATACCTAAACTCCATGCTCAGTTAAAATGGACAAATTAACTGAAACAAAGAGAGTACAATAACCAAAATGTTCGCCTTGAGGGCAAGGAGAGTTCAGACTTCGAGATAACTGTCGCCAAAGTTACGAAGAAAGAAACAGACAAAAATATGTCGTTGAGTTAGCTTTGGAAGTAAATATTCTTTGTGCATTTTTTATAATCGATCTCTATGGTTTCCATTGTTTGCTTTATGATTTAATAAGAAGTTGTTTTTCAGCTGTTTGCTTGTTTGTATTTTTTAAAATATTTATTTTTATAAAAGTATATTATTTTATTTAATAAAACCGAAATTTAAAATTCAAACACATTTTATGTTCACAACGGTATAATTTTAGGTATCTTTGGCTGTCATCTTTATAGATTTAAACAATCATTGATTTGTGAAAGTGAATATCTATTACTCCCACGTCTCATCTATCTACCATGTACATGTCTACATTGTCCGCATCTCATATCACTTTTTTTTAAAAAAAAAAAAAATAATTATACACCTTAATCTTATTTTAAATTTTTAATTTAAATTTTTTAAAATTTAAATTAAACTAATTAGTTATTTATATTAGTTTCACTAATACATACATGAAAAGACAAATTAAGTGGACGAACAAAAATAGAAAAAATGGACAAATTAATTGAGACGAAACAAAAATAAAAAAAGTGAGACAAATTAATTGAGACAAAGGGAGTATAAAATACTGATACCAAACCCAAACTAAAGCAGATCCATAATATTGTCCATAAAGCAACCCATATATTCTTTGGCATAGTTTTGAATTTAAAATAAAATAAAAACGCTAAACCTTAAACTCAAATGACAACCAAAAACAAAACCTTAAATTTGGGTACTAAAAACTTCTCTTAAAACATTTTTTCGTAGTGCCTCTTGATCATCAATACAATTCATTATTTTGGCGAAATAAGAACACGATTATCTTTCGAAATCACAAAGTTTTGTTAGTACCCACAGAATAAAAAAGATCACAAATAACCCACATGTCAAAGTAGCCATCTTCAATCTTACATTATCCCAAATTGAGATCATTCCCAAAAATCGATATTGGATCATTCGGATGTGACCTTTTCCTTCTTCTCTCCCAAGTACCTAACAATATAGACGAGGATTAGTTGCGCTTGACTAATACGGATTCGGATTAATCATAATTCCATGTCAAGAAATGCGCAAGATTAACGGCAGATATGGTTTTGTAGGAGTGTTTGTTGTGCTTTACCCTTGACCTTTAGCCCACCGGGAGAGCTGATAAAGTTGCACTGTCTCGTTGGAAGCATGGCAGGCGAGTAGAAGATAGTTACGAGGCTGTACCATCCAAGCAAACCTCATGAACAGCCCAGAATACACGCACATCGCTGCATTGTTTTTAGGACGAGAAAAAGAAAAAAAGATCAGAGTATGTAAGAAACATAATGTTCAAGTGATTCGGCTTACCTGCAGTCATGTTGCCAGAAATCATTTCCGGAGGTTTTTTCATGTCCACGAGCCCCTGCAATTTCAATTAACGAGAATTTAGAGGTAATCTATTTTGAATATTGTATGTGGTGTAGAAGCTCACCGCAATCACAAAACCCCAATTTGCTACGGGACCCCAGAAGTGAGTTGTTTTGGGACCAACAGGGCTGTTCAAAAATGCTTTGAAGGAAGCCATAAATGTCTCGATTAGGATAAACCTGCATTTTGTAAGAGATAATTATGGCCTTTAGGGTCGGACAATAAACAAGAAAACAGAAGTTTCAGAGCGTATACAACGAAAAATACACGCCAGATTGTGTCACACGAGGTTAGATATGAGGAATACTTTCTCAGTTTACTGTCACAAACTAAGCTTCAAGAATGGTTTCTCAAGGTTACCTTACTAGAATAGAGCTTAGAACTTTTCTTCAAAAGATGCCGGAGGGCAGATTCAAGCAACAAAACATCAAAATGCGGTGAAACAAGGAATTATATATATAATTCTGCAAGTGAAATCAGTACATGATATACCTACCGAAAGTGATCATCTATATAAATGTCTATGTATCATTCAAGATCACGTTCTTGTAATATAGGATCATATCAAGTGTGATTTATCATATAGTTTCAACAAAAATGAACCCCAACAGATACGTAACATGGCGAAACACTACATAACACACAAGTTTCAACACCAACTAGCGAATAATAATCAATCACCTTAAGTAGGCTAAAACAAATTCACAATGTTTATAACATTTCTTGCAAATTGACCTCATAGACAGCAAAACAAACTTCAAAGCCCCAATTCAGGTTCTCAACCAAATCTTACTAAGTTAGGGTTCAAGCCAAATACTCCTTACAGCACACAATCAAATATTTTGGACTAAATTTTTATCTACATGTGATCCTTTGATACCAGTTTGTGAGTAAACTGCATCAAGCTCATCCAACCCATCAACAAAATCAACTAAACAACGATGAAATGAGATCTTTGGAAACAAAACTATCATTGAAATGGAAAAATAAACTAAATAACTTCAGCCTAGCTTGAATCTATAGCCTGGCATGTTATATTATGATATTGACAAAGTAATTTATCCAAATTATGCACATGTTAGATAAAACTCATGGCAAAATTAATGAAATAACAAAGCAACTGAAACTTTTGCCTTGAGAGATACTTTAAGAGATAAGATAATCCTTTTCCAATCTACCAAATCCATATGAATTAACGAACGAATAATCCCGAATGAGACACAAACTGAAATCAATCCAAAGCTAAAATACCTAAAAATTCCTATAATCGGAACCAACGTATAATCAATCAGAGTAAAGAAGGTAAAATAGTCCAAGCAAAGCTAAATACCTCAGAATCAAGTAACAATAAATCGGTTATCGTTCATGTTTTCCCCATCCAACATCCGAAGAACAAATTATACATAAATCTCTCCGGTCACACTGCCTTAAAATTGTGAAAAAAAAATAAAAAAATAAAAAAAATCGCGAGGAATTGAAATCTACAACAAATTCTTCGAATTGACCTAATAATCCAAGGGGTATAAACACTAGTGCACATTCAAATGCGTATCCGGTAATTTACAGACAGAGATCTCACCTTGAAGAATTTCGATTTGCGATTGAGAGGAGTGCAAGAACTGCGAGGGCGCCCGGGAGAGATGATTTGCTCTAAAAAAGTCGCGTCTGGTGGCTGCGATAGACGAAAATTTTAATTGAACATTAACAACAACAACAACAACAACAATAATAATAATAATAAAAATCAATTTTTTTTTTGTCAATATAATTAAAATTTCTCAATTTTGTTTATAATAAAAAATTGATTTTTTTAATAATAATAATAATAATAATAATAATAATAAAATTTTCTATTTTACTGTTTTATTTACTTCCTCTACTCTCCGTCCTTCCATATTTAGTAATTATATACTCACTCAGAAAGTATACATATTTATATTTTGAGATGTCCAACTATAAAGTAAATATTCCATTAAATACTTACTTTTTTCCTCAAATACTTTACTTTACATCACATTATTACTTTTACACCAAAAAATAAGGGCAAAAATATCATTACACTATTTTTAACTACCCACTATAATTAAAATACTATTATTTCTTAAACACCGCGCCAAAAGTAATTGTATACTTTATGAGTGGACGGATGGAGTATCAATTATTTTTATATCCTTTAGTCTCTCGCAAATTGTCTGTTTTTTTTTTAAAAAATATAATTATACATTTAAATTATATTTTAAAATTTATAATTTATAAATTTTTATTTTAGTCAAATTTTTTAGTCATTTTTTAAATTTAATTTCTATTATTTTTATTATATCATAATTATTATTACTAATACATCTTTTAATTACTTAGTAATTATGTAATACTTATTGTCTTGTGGGACAGAGATAACTAAATAATTTAATTAAAATTAAAAAATTTATAAATTATGAAATTTAAAATGGAATTAAAACGTATAATTATATTTATACAACTTATATGAAACAGACAAAAATAAAAAAAATAGAAATAAATTATATAGGATGGACGAAGTATTATTTTTGTATATTTATCCAAGTACATATTCCTCCATCTCATTTGAAAAAAGCACTTTGAGATTATATAATAGATTAAAAAATAATAATAACAAACAAAAAAAGTATTTTAAATTAGGACGAAAAAATATATTTATACTAATATTAAAATATTACTCCTTTCGTCGCAGCTAAAGTGTCCAAGTTACCGTAGACATATGAATTTTAAGTAAAGTACAATTAATAAATAGTTAAAAAGTGTATTACTAAAAATAATTATAAATTAAGATTAAAAAAAATTATAAATTATAAAATTTAAAATGTGATTAAAGTGTAAATCATATTTGCAAAAAAGAAATGACAAATTATATGGAACAGATAAAAATAGAAAAAAAAAAAATAGACACTTTATATAAACCGAAATATTAATTTTTATACTATAATTATGAATATATTATTATATTTTAACAATTAATAAAATAATTATATTTATTAATTTACTAAAAAATCCAAATTGATGCATATTGTTGCGTGACAAAAAGAATATTGTATATTATATGAAATTAATTATAATTAGGTAGATTGATTCTATCCATCATTATTTTTATCACACCCTAATATACCTATCTCCTTTAACATTTATAAATATCCATTTCAAATATTCAATATATTAATTGTGATTACTAATTGTTCTAATTTATGGGTTGAACTTTCTCTATTTAAAAATTATAGTCTTATTTGAAGGAATATTGATGTTGTATTGATAGTCAGTAAAAAGTACGAATAAAAGACTTTTTTGTCCTTGTGAGTGTATTAATATAAAAAGTAGTGGCATTTGTGTAATAATAATGAAAAAGTAAGGATAATTTTATGGTGATATGAGTATTTATGGAAACAAGACTTGTTTTAAAACATACAAAAATGGTAAACAAGACTACTGTATTGAGACGGAGGGAGTATTATTTATGTACAAGCATTTATCGCCCTAATATTGTTATCTACTTTAACATTTATAAATATCCCTTTCAAATATTTTTTGTATATTGAATTTTAATATATTAATTATTATATCAAAATATAAGTACAAATCAAGAGAAAAAAAAAAAGGCAATAATGTTTCTATTTGTATTTTATAATACTAATATAATTATATTTGTATAAAAAATTATACAAATATAAAAATATTTTTAATGTTAAAGTATAATGACGCAGAATATAAATGTAACTGTAAATGGGACATAGAGAATATTTAAAATATACATGGGATGTGTTTGATTAAGGTTTGTTTTTTTTTTTTTTTTTTTTTTTTACGTTAAAAATCATTGATTTACATAAATTTTCATAAATTTAATAAGATTACCATCTTTGGTAAGCAGTGTTTTAACTTTTTAGTTGTTTGACCGATTAAAAAATTAATTTAAGTATTTGATAAATTAATTGTTTAAAATAGGTTATCAAACCCCAAAAAATTAATTTTTGAAACGTCGTATAACCCAACGTTTCAAAATTACTGGTTCTCTTTAAAATATTTTATTCCTTATTTGTAGTTAAGTATAAGTCATTCCTTTTACAAGTATAATATATTTTTCATTGCACTATTTATTAATTATTTTAATATGTCTTTTAATAACCTATAAATTTACTTTTATAAATTTAAAATAATTATTAATTTATTTCTTTTATAAATATCGAATATATTAAAATAAATTTATTTAAAATTATAAATTTAATAGAAAATTTTTAATTAAAATTAACTTCGTAAAAATATATATACATTTTTTTATTTTTTACATTTTATACTATCTCTAATGGAAAAAAATTCATATATAAATTCATATATTTAAATAAGAGTATAGACAATAAAATAATTAACTTAGTTTTAAAATAAAATGATAAATAACATTTAGTTCTCAAACCACACGAGAGATATAGACAATTTTGTTAAAATAATATTCAAATTCTTCAAAAAAAATATATTAATTTTAAAAAAATACATTATTATTCTTCATTATTATGTTAATTCGTTCTTGTTATATATAACAACCAAATGAATCTTTATTTTGTTTTTTTTTTTCCATTCCAAACAAATATCAATATTATCTTGATACAATTTTCAATAAAATACAATATTTTTCTTACAAAATATTATATCAAAATACTATTTAAATAAAAATTAAAATCAACATCTCATTTCAAATCAATTTCAAACCATGTCAAAATATTATTATTGTAAAAATATGTTACCTTCATCGTTGCAAGCTAGACATGAGATGTGGGGTGTGTTTACGAGTAAGATTTTTTATTATTTATTTTGATTTTGAATAGTAAAATTTTGAATTGAAATACTTGTTTAATATAATATAAATATGTATTGATGTAATATTTTAAATGTAAAATTAAATTTTAGTGCAATATAATAAATAAAAAAATGAGTATTTGTTTAATATATTTGAAAAAAAGAAAAAAGAAAATTTCAATAATAAAATTAGATGAAAAATTATACAAATAATATTGAATACTCCCTCCGTCCCATATAAAAGTTACCATTTATTTTTTGCACGCAAATTTTTTAACATCAGTATTATATTGGGTTATAATGAAAAAGACAAAAATACCCATATTAGTACCGTGTAATATAAAAGTAACGATATTTTGTGTAATATAGTATAAGTTGAAAGAATATTTATTATGTTAGGTAGGTAGTACAGTTACTAAATTAACAATCTAAATTAACAATCTTTCAGGGAATATAAGTTTTTAATTTAATATTTCAAATAAAAAAATATATATACTCCCTTCGTGCCATATATTTTGGGCTTATTACTGTAGATACGAGAATTTATGTAAAGTATAATTAGTAGGTAATTAAGAAATGTATTAGTAAAATAATTATAATTTAATAAAATTAATTATAAATTAATATTTAAATAGCTAAATAGTTTAATTAAAATAAAAATATATAATTTTAAAATTTGATTAAAGTTTATAATTATATTTAAAAAAAAATGACAAATTCTGTAACACAAACAAAATAGAAATACTAGACAATTAAGCTAGAATGACTGAGTATTATATATCAATTTATTAAAAAAAAAAAAAAGACTATTAACAGTAAAAAGAATAATAATAATATTAAAAAAAAAAAAACATACTCAAACATTCGAATCAAATTTTTATTTATTTACCCACATTTATTTAGGGACAACACATCAAAAAAAAAAAAAAAATCAAAACTTCTCAAGATTTACACATACACTCCGGCACGGGGTATGCCAACACATCCCTATCTATCTTCTTCCTCCTCGACTCCGGCTGCCCCATCGAATACTTATGCAGCCGCCGGACCGCCTTCCCCACCTCCTCCTCCGCCGCGGCGGCGGCGTCGTCCAGCAACGGCAGCATCATCCGCTTGTTTGGCTTTATGTGCTTCCGGTGCCCGACGTACGCCCGGTGCCCCTACAAACATATCCGTCAGCTTCCCCGCCACCGCGCAACCGCCGGAAAAAGCCGCGCAGACATATATACATACACATATATATATACACACACCTGCATCGCTCGGCCCATGTTGCCGCCGTGCGACGGCACGAACACGTCGCTGCTCAGCGACACGATGTAGTCGATGGCCGCGAGGATCGACGGCTTGCTCAAATAAGGTTCGAGCTCGCCTTTCCGCGCCAGGGTCAGCTTCGTCGCGATGTTCGGGAACTCGTCGACGAGCGGCTGCAGCGCGCGGCTGCCCCCGAACGGCTCCCCGCCCGCGACGTAAATGTTCGCGTCGCGGGGCGCGCCTAGTGCTTTGAGAAGTCTGCATCATTTAAGAGAAAAAAAATTAGATGTCTACTAGTTTACCAGCTGAATTGAGTCGAGCTTTTTTTTTTTTTTTTTTTATGTTACCGGGCGACTTCCCGGGCGTTTAGAGGACATAGTCCGGCGAGACGGCGCGCGGATTTCGTCATGTTGAGCTTGTCGGTGAGGAAATCCGGGTTCGATTTCCGGTCGATGGCGATCGCGTTGTCGTATTCGGATCCTAGCCCGGTCGGGCAACCCGTCCGGACCCAAACGTCCTTCTCCATTCGTAAATGGATAGCAACGTACGGACCCTCGATCCACATCCGGCGCGCGACTTGCTCGCCAAGATCGCGGATTTGTGATGCGAAACGTAGTGCGTGGAACGCGACTTTGCAACGGAGTTTTTGGAGATCGGTCGGGAGGTTCTTCGATAGCCGCGATTCGAGGCCTTTTAAGATTAGGAAGCCTTCTTCGTTGAGCTACACAAAATGAAAAACAGATATCAAAACAGGGGAATTCGACGAGAAGTTAGTCGATGTTTACGACGAACTTGGTGAAGAAACTTCGCGCGGATCCAAACCGGCGAGACGTGCGCGGGAATTTGGTTTTCGATCGATTGTTTTGAGACCAAATAAGTCGAAGGGAGCGACGACACGATGCGAACGTCGGATTGTAGCGTTTTCTTGAAGTGTTCCAAATCAAAGATATCCGAAAACTCACTACGGATAAAAAGAAAAAAAAATAAAAATCGATCGATTAGTTAGTCTTCGACGACGAGCAAAAAATCGAAAAAAAGAAAACTTTATAGCTCACCTCTCGTCTTTCCACACGCGGTTAACTTCCAAAACCGGGACGACTAACGCGGCCTCGAGAATTCTCGCCATGACGACAGCGTCGACGATTTGATTCCGCTGCTGATTGAGGCCACCGGAGACGACGACGACGAGGAATCGCCGCTTCTCTTTCGCAATTTTCGCCGATGCTTTTCGATAGTCGAGGCTGAAGTCGAGGCAGGGGCGGTAGCCCTCGCCGTCGGGCTGCCGCCAGAACTCGGCGGCGGAGGCGTTGACGGTCACCGGCGGCCCGCGCGGCGGCAGGGGGACGGTGGCGCCGGTGGAGAGGGAGACGGATTCGTGGTTCGAGTGATCTTTCCAGATTGAGGAGAGGGAGGCGATGTAGAGAGGGGGGATGGGGGAGGGGTTGGGTAGGGGGGGGCAGGGAGGAGGAGGGTGGGTGGGGGGGTGGAGGGTGAGGAGGCAGAGGCAGAGGAATGTGCAGAGGAGGAAGAGGGGGGTGAGGTAGGGTGAGCGGAGGCGCCATGGCTTTTTGGGGATGAAGAAGAAAGGGGAGACGGCGGGGAAGCACGGCGGCGTTAGGGTTATGCAGGCGGTCTTGAAGGCTCTCGGCGGCGGTTTCGCCATTGATGGATAAGTAATCGGAGCTTCTTCTGATTTCTGGTTATGGAGATTCTGTTAGGGTTTTTGGAAGCGGAGGTTATTTTTTTGAATGAAGAAGAAGAGTTAGTTAACTGAAGTAGTTGCAGGATTTGAAATGTCTGTTTTACCCTTGACTGGTAAGGGGAGAGAAGGAAGAACAGAGGCGTTTGTGGAATTGTGATTCAAATGTTGTGTTTGTTTGGAGTTGTTTTTAAGTATTTAAGTTGTGTTTTTTCGTGGGTTTTAGCATATATTTTTGTTATTTAGATTTTTCTTTTTTTATAAAAATATAACATCAAATAATTTTATTTTTTTTATATTATACTATAAATTTATTTTACATTCAAAATATCAAATCAATTTCTATTTTTTTATCGCATCAAACAATTATTCAAATATTTGGTCACAACGATTTTAGATTTTTAGCATTATTTTAATACTTTCAAAAAATCTTTTGGTTAAACTGAATCTATTGTTTTAGAAAAATACTCTCTCCGTCCCGTCCCGTCCCATGTAATATGGGTGTATTACTGTAGATACAGGAATTTAAGTAAAGTATAATCAGTAATTAATTAAAAAATGTATTAGTAAAAATAATTATTATTTAGTAAAAATAATTATAAATTAAGATTAAGATAACTAAATAGTTTAATTAAAATTAAAAAAATTTAAATTTTAAAATTTAAAATATGATTAAAGTGTATAATTAATTTTCCAAAAAAAGAAAGGACAAATTATGTGGGACGAACGAAAATAAAAAAATAGGGACAAATTATGTGGGACGAAGAGAGTATTAAATTAAAATTTATTTTTATTTTTTATTTTATAATAAAAATAATTTTATATTTAAAATATCATATTAATACATATTTATATTACAATCAAACGGGTTTTTAAATTCAAAATTTAAACCTTAAAACAAACACAGCTTGTGGGTGTGTATATATTTTTTAAAAAATATTATATATTGTATTTTATTTATCATCTAAATTTATATTAATTTTATTTTTGTATTATTAAAAAATATTCTTTTATTTTAGGAAAAGTTATATTATGTTCGTCTTGCAACAAAAATATCATTTGTTTTTCTCCATGTATGTTCTTTAATATTAGTATTCCATCCGTCCCGCAAAAAGGTTGTCATTTAATTTTTGCATCATTGTATTTAATATTAAAAATATCTTTATATTTTAATAATTTACTTGACAAATATCATTGTATATGTATATAAGAGACTAATAAACATATTTTTGTTTTCTTTTCTTGATTTGTACTACGTATTGATATCATAATTAATATTCAAAGTTCAAAACACAAAAAGCCAATGGCAACCTTCTTGCGGAACAGAGGGAGTATTATATTAGTTTATATTTAAGTATGGTGTAATATAAAAGTAATAACATTTGTGTAATATATGATAATTTATAAGAGTATTTATTATTTTAAATAACTAGCACAATTACTAAATTAGAAAATAGTACCCTTAATTTGCCAGAAATTTCAAAATTGAAATAATTTTTAACAAAATATTTTTTTTCAATATTCTTTCTATTTTTAAGTTATTTTAAATTTTCTTTGTCAATAATTATAGGAGTACAAAAATAAGTTTAATCCTTAAAACCCTAATTTGTCATAGGCCTCTACTCTTACGTTTCTTGAACAATTTAATAAATAAATAAATAAATAAAATCCAATCAAGTTCTTTTTAATATGCAAGTTAATTTCTGTTCGCAATATTTATTTTTTTTATTTTATTTGACAATACTTTAATTTTAGAATATGACAAAAAGGAGTATTATTTTTATAATATATTTATTTTTTCTTTCATATTATCTAATTTTAAAATTATTTTATTGAATATTATTTATCAAAATTTTTATGCTAAAAGTCAAATGTTACACATCTAATTTAGGACGAAGATAATACTAGTATTTTAATTTTAAGAATATAATTATCTATTCTATGATATATATATATATATATATAAACTAATATTTTAAAATCTACGGAAAAAAGTATTATAGAGTTTGTTTACTGTCTTTTTTATATATGCATTTTTTATTTTTAATACTCCCTATATTCCGACCATCGTGTCTCGTTTACTGTAGACAGAATAATTTAGAAGGCGTATAATTAATAAATAATTAAAAATATATTAATAAAAATAATTATTGTATAATAAAAATAATTTTAAATTAATATTAAGAGAACCAATTAGTTTAATTAAAATTAAAAAAAATTATAAATTAAAAATTTTAATATGTGATTAAAGTTGTTAATTTTTTTTTTTAAAAAAAATGACAGAATAAATGAACAGACGAAAATAAAAAGATATACACGATAATTGGCACGAAAGAAGTAATATTTATAAAGAATCATTACGTTCAAAGAATACTATGTGTGCAAACCCTATTATATTATATGTAATTCCCAAATTATCTAATAAAAGAATAATTTTACTTTCTCAATTCTTTAAAAATTAATCAATTTTTCTATTTTGGTTCGCCCGTAATAAAGTATCTACTTTTTTTTTAGTAACTATATTATCTACTTAATATTACAAATATCTTTACAATTTACAATATATTGTACAAATATCATTACTTAATACTCCCTCCGTCCAAGCTAAAAATATACATTTACTTTTGGCGCGAAGATTAAGGAATCATAGTATTTTAATTATAGTGTGTAGGTAAAAGTAGTGAAATGATATTTTTGCCCTTACTTTTTTGGTATAAAAGTAATGATGTGATGTAAAGTAGGGGTATTTGTGGAAAAAATGAGATATTTAATAAAATGGTTACTTTGTAATTGGACGTCCCAAAATAGAAATATGTATACTTTCTAGCTGGACGGAAGGAGTATCATATAATACTAATTTAGTCTTTTTACTTTTATTTATACTATTTAGTGTTTTTATTTTTATTTTTTATTATATTTTAATATAATATTAATATTTTTAAAATTTGGTTTAAAATGGACAAACAGATAAATAGATATAGGTACGAGAGAGTATTATTTACTACTATAATTATGTCAGTTTAGTTGTTTGTTTTTTTTTTTTTTTTTTTTTTTCTGTTTTTGTGTATTCTAAATTTATATAGTCTACATATAATAAAAAAAAATTGTCCACTTACTATTTTATGATTCATATTTGAATAAACAATAATTATTTTTTTACAACCTTTTCTATTTACCATATTACATTTTAATTAAAATTTTAATACCCTATAATAACCTATATTTAGTTTATTATATTTTTATATTAATATATTATTAGTTTTTTTAGTCTCGGGTAAACTGCTTTTTTAGTCCCATAACTGGACCCCCTTATCATTTTAGTCCCGTAGGTGGAGCCTGTCGAAAACTAGTTCCATAAGTAAAAAATTTTCGCAGTTTTAGTCCTCCGGCGCCGGAGACGCCTGCGTGGCTCGCCGGAGGTGACATGTCCGCCAGGTGTTCCGCCAGGTTAGTGACACCTGGCGGACACGTGGATTTATTTTTTTTCAATTTTTTTTATTTTTTTAAAATTAAATCAAATTAAAAAATTTAAATTATATAAATAAAATTAAAAATAAATTAAAAATATGTTTTAAAAAAAAAATTAAAAATAAAAAATAAATAAAAAAATCCATGTGTCCGCCGGGTCAGCGCCAGGTGTCGCTGACCTGGCGGACACGTCATCTCCGGCGAGCCACGCGGGCGTCTCCGGCGCCGGAGGATTAAAATAACGAAAATTTTTCACTTATGGGACTAGTTTGCGACAGACTCCATTTACGATACTAAAATGATAAGGGGGTCCAGTTACGGGACTAAAAAAACAGTTTACTCTTTAGTCTCTGGATTAAAAATGATATAAGCATCTCAGATGAAAAAATATTCTTTATTTTATATTATTACATTCAAAGTTTGCATTTATCAAAATTTAAATAAATACAATCGAAAAATTTTACGAGGTTGTTCATCTAACAATTTTCTCAACTAGGACATGATTTTCTATAAATATTACATTTTTTGCTTCAAAACTATAGGGATATTTGAAAGATGAACACGAAAATTAAGAAATAATAGTATTACATTGATAGTGAGGTAAAAGTATTTTAAAAAATTAAAATATCTTTACTTTATGTAATATTGTGAAAAAATATGGATAATTTTGCAAAAAAATGAGAAGTTAGATACCAAAAATGAAAATGTGATGATTGTTTTGAGACGATGTAGTATTAAAATGTAATATATATATACGGGTAAACTGATTTTTTAGTTTCTGAACTCCTTTAAAAAAAATTGAAAATTAAAATTTAAAAAAATATAAAAATCTACGTGTCCGTCAGGTGTCGCTGACCTGGCAAACACGTGTCCTCCGGTGAGCCACATGGGTGCCACGTAGACATCTCCGATGCCAGAGGACTAATATTGTGAAAATTTTCCACTTACGGGATTAGTTAATTTACGACAAACTTCAGTTACAATACTAAAATTATAAAAAGGTCCAGCTACGAGACAAAAAAATCAGTTTACCCTGTATATATAAATTTACATAATACATATAATATATGTATTTCGTCTATTCACAAAAAATCAATAATTCAACGAATATATTATTTTTGTGCATCTTTTTGTACAAAGATGAAAAATATATTCATTCAAAAAAAATATAGAGTGAACTCACTCAAAAACCACCGTTATTCTGTCAGATTAAAAATTTAATTGTGGGTTAAATATAATTATTTGGGCTATCAGTCAGGTTAAATCTATATTAAGTGATCTATTAAATTTATTGGATTTAAATGTATTTACTAAGTGCAGGTCTCCTATATGCAGAAACCCGGTAACTTATTAATAGGGTGATGAAGCCAATTAATAATAAGATATATAAATTAGGGTTGTGATCAACCGCAACATCCATTACTTTTCGTATCTTATCGTGAGTAACGACAAAAATCCTAGCGGTTTTCTCATGAGGGGTTGTATCATAGGCTTGAAGAACATAAAACTCTTTATTAATTTGTAGATCCTGATCCTATTACGCTAATGGAATTAGGTTAGATTTATTAACTTTATTTTATTGTCTCAATTATTTGAACACGACAGATCTTGGGTCGAAGATTTAATTTCCGATAAATTCCAACAATTGGTATTAGAGCAAGATTACATGTTGAATTA